AGCAGCGTAGGTCTTGGCGCCGTTCTTGTGCAGAGGGCTGACGGACTTGAAAGGGTTATTAGTTACGCCAGCCGATCGCTATCCAAAGCAGAAGCAAATTATTCCACAACAGAAAAAGAGTGCCTCGCCATCATCTGGGCTACGTCGAAATTTCGCCCCTACCTTTACGGCAGGCCCTTCAAAGTTGTGAGCGACCACCACGCCTTGTGTTGGCTAGCCACCTTGAGGGACCCTTCAGGTCGCCTCGCACGATGGAGCCTGAGACTTCAAGAATATGACATTACTGTCATTTACAAGTCCGGCAAAAAACACTCCGACGCCGACTGTCTCTCTCGTGCGCCTGTCGACCAACCGCTACCCAACGACCCGGATGACGACTACTTCTTGGGAACGATAACTACCGAAGACTTCGCTGAACGACAGCGGGCCGACCCGGAACTTAAGGCCCTAATAGAATACCTCGAAGGCAGGACCGCCGAAGTCCCAAAGGTATTCAAGCGCGCACTTGCGTTGTTTTTTCTACGAAACGGTCTTCTACAAAAGAAAAACTTCACCGCTTCGAGCTGAGCACCTACTTGTGGTGCCTTCAGCTCTGCGACCAGAACTCCTGCAGGCCCTGCATGACGATCCGATGACAGGGCACCTCGGTGTTTCTCGCACGCTCGCGTAGATACAAGAAAGGTACTACTGGCCACGTCTTACCACCGACTTGACTCGTTATGTGAGGACATGCCGGGACTGTCAGCGACGCAAGACACCACCGACAAGTCCAGGGGGACTTCTGCAGCCAATTGATCCACCTTGCCGACCTTTCCAGCAGATCGGTATGGATCTACTGGGGCCGTTCCCGACGTCGGCTTTCGGAAACAAGTGGATCGTGGTAGCTACCGACTACCTCACCCGCTACGCCGAGACAAAAGCCCTGCCAAAAGGCAGTGCAACCGAGGTAGCTAAGTTCTTCGTAGAAAATATCGTCCTACGTCACGGCGCCCCGGAGGTCCTTATCACCGACAGAGGAACGGCATTCACTGCCGACTTAACTCAAGCGATCTTGGCATACAGCCAAACAAACCACCGCCGGACGACAGCGTACCACCCACAGACCAACGGCCTCACCGAGCGGCTTAACAAGACGATCGCCGACATGCTGTCAATGTACGTCGATGTCGAACACAAGACGTGGGACGCCATTCTTCTGTATGTGACCTTCGCATACAACACGGCGGTGCAGGAGACGACGCAGATATCTCCATACAAATTGGTCTACGGAAGGAGCCTGGCAACGACGCTCGATGCCATGTTAGCCAACGTCACCGACGAAGAAAACCTCGATGTGAGCGAGTACCTTCAACGCGCCGAAGAAGCCCGACAACTTGCGCGTCTCCGTATCAAGAATCAACAGACGACCGACAGCCACCGTTACAACCTTCGACGACGCTTCGTGGAATACCAGCCCGGTGAACGTGTTTGGGTGTGGACGCCGATACGCCGACGTGGACTAAGTGAAAAGCTTCTGCGACGGTACTTCGGACCTTACAGGGTGGTTCGACGCCTCGGCCCACTTGATTACGAGGTTGTTCCCGATGGCATCACGAACTCTCAACGACGCCGATCGCGACCTGAAGTCGTCCATGCCGCGCGCCTCAAGCCGCTTCATGCGCGTTAACAAACTGAAACAGTGTTTTTGTATTATTGTATCGTAATTTATTCATTGTACTTTCTTGCATTATTATTGTACCTTCATCTTCAGTTACAGCATCGGGACGATGCCTTTTTTCAGAGGGGGGCAATGCCACGTTCCATTTCCTAAGTTTTTGTTATCGTCCCAAACCACGACACGATTCTCAGCGCAAACCGCGCCTGCAGTTTTCGAGAAGGTTCCGGACTGTAGTAGATCATTTCGATAAGATCACGCCCACTGTGCGAACGGTACAGATTGTTCTGAAACCTACGCCACCGCCAGCGATAACGCTAGAACATTCGACGGCAAGAGTATAAATGCCGACGCGCTTCGCCGCTTGTCTGTTGTTGATCGAAGGCCGACGCTCCGTTCGCCGCTATCAGTCCGAGACTGCTATCTGTGTGAGACTGCTGCTGTAATTGGACTTTCCGTTTACTGGGCACAAGTTCGCCCAAATAAACAGGTAAATCCCAACACGAAGTCTCCTGTCTTCGGCCACGTCACGACCCCGTGACAATATCATGTCATCAGCAACGGTGATATCCACAAATACAAGAGCGATCGGACTATCTGGATCCGAGGAAGAAACCTACAATGGCCCCGCTACGGTGATCTAGTGGCTAAGGTACTCGGCTGATGACCCGCAGGTCATGGGATCGAATCCCGGCTGCGGCGGCTGCATTTCCAATGGAGGTGGAAATGCTGTTAACCCGTGTGCTCAGATTTGGGTAGACGTTCAAAAAGGCCAGATGGTCGAAATTTCCGGAGTCCTCCACTAGGCATCTCTCATAATTATATGATGGTTTTGGGACGTTAAAGTCCGCATAATAATCAATCAAAAAACCTAAAATGGGTGCCCTCCAGTGGCTCCCCTTGTCACTCCCTCGCGTGGAGGTGGCTCTTAAAACAGCCGTATGGCAAATTACATCCAATCGGCATTACATTCTAAGCCGCAAAGGAGGAAAAGGGGTCATTGGTTCATCCTTTTGGGGGGGTAACTGCATTGCCACAACCATCTTAACGTTGTGCCTTCCTGCCGCGACTGTTGCCAGACATGTGGTGTGCAGCAGAAGAAGCAGACGATCGAAGCGACCTGCTGACGAGGAAACGTCACGAAGGCTTGCGTGTACACATACCTCCGCCACGTCAGGGTACACTAGGAACAGAAGCCAGATTTTAAAAGGATGCTGTAATTATTGAAGACGATAGTCTTTCTTGGGGACCTTGAATCCAAGAATTTTGGACTGTCTGTCTGTCTGTCTGTCTGTTTGTCTGTCTGTACATTTTTCTGTTTGTCCACTCCTAACGGCATCGGGTACTTGAAACGTCCGACCCCACCCGCAGCGCCCACTTATGCTGCTCAAGGTTGAGCGTTGATGCTTGTGCAATTGTCAATTAAAAACCAATTATTGCACATGTCTGGGGCACCATCACAACACGCATATATTCTGCGTGTGCATCTCTTACTAGGAAAAGCATACATAAGTACATAAATAAGGACCGTAGCGCTTATCACGCTGCGCTGCCCATGCAACACTTGCACGGAAATGCGAGTGTTTCAAACGCTTTGCTAAAACAAAGCGGTGGTGGCACCTACCCGTCGCCTTGGGTTCTACACCTCATCACTTCTGAGATGGGCGCGCACAGCCGTCTCAGAGGCACGCACTTTGTTTTCTAAGACAACTGCCAGATGGCGCTTATGTCTCACGTGTGACGTGACTTGATGCGCTCGTTCGCCTCCGCTGCACGCTCGAGACAGTCTAACGCAGCGGCTCCAGACTAACATTCACCGATGTTTTCGCACAGCACATCAAATAAATGTCTTGTTCATTCTATCGACACGCAATACTATCGTCTTTCGACGACAATTGCAGATTATATGCAGATACGGGGCCAATTTCTTTCAGGGTGCACTCGCGCTTACCGGTATACGTTTTCTATGCTCTTGGGTGCTTGGCCTATCCTTTGATTAAAAAAAATAAGTAAAAAGTTTTTTGTCAGAACCCGTTTAACTTCGCTACCTCTCTTACATTGCCTTTCTGTCCCCCACCACCTCCGCGGAACAGTGGTTTCTGCGCTGCTGACCCGAAGGTTGCGGGTTCGATTCCGGTCGTGGGGGTCGCATTTCAATGGAGGTGAAATGGTAGACTGTGTGATGCCAACGCACGTACACCACATGGTTTAAATTTCCGGAGCCCTCCACCACGGCGTCTCTGACAATCATATCGTCGTTTCGGGACCCGAAGCACTAATAAAGCAAAATACTTTTCTCTGTCGTCTTAGCAGTTGTTTCCTTCAAATGTATCGAATATTATGAATCAGTCATGTTAATAAGTTTTAATAAATCACAAATAAATCGTTTTCTTGTAAGTCGAGTTCCCCAGAACCGAAACCCTCATTTACATTAGCTCCTATGTATCACACGGGGTGGCAACGTTTTGAACGTTCTTAGCCAACGGTGAAATAAACCTAACGTTCCATGCAGAATAAGAACGTTTGCATTTTAGCAATAGACTCGTTTAAGCGAGCCTTGAAAAATTTTATGTTTGATTACTGCGCAAGATTGCGCTTTTCAGCTGCTTACGTGTCCATAATGGCCATTTCCTAAAGAACTACCTTCCCAGCTATCTGCAACTTCGCCCCCCCCCCCCTGTTCTGCATGACCTCTTCGCATTTTATGACCCGACATTTTCTTACTTCAAGGCTTCACGTAACCTATTTTCTTGACCCGCCAAGTTATCCACCTTTTTGCCCCGCCGCGGTGGTCTAGTGGCTAAGGTACTCGGCTGCTGACCCGTTGCGGGATCGAATTTCGGCTGCGGCGGCTGCATTTCCGATGGAGGCGGAAATGTTGTAAACCCGTGTGCTCAGATTTGGGTGCACGTTAAAGAACCCCAGGTGGTCAAAATTTCCTGAGTCCTCCACTACGGCGTCTCTCATAATCATATGGTGGTTTTGGGACGTTTAACCACACAAATCAATCAATCAATCAAGTTGTCCACCTTTACATAATAAAGCGGACTTTCAAATGACCATCCGTAACCGGTGCACATCAATCTCTTCTACTAGCTGCCACATCGGCGCATGCCTGCTTGCGTCAATCAGTTGCTTAGATAGTTACTGCAGAAAAGTGCTTTTCGTTTCATATCAGTTCTCGGCGTAGACACTACCATGTGATGCGACACGGAGTATCAGCTACACATGATTGTTCAATTTCACAGTCCGTTTATCAACGCGATAAATAGGCAAACCATAATGTAAGTATTCCTTCTTTACGCCACCACTTTTCAGTGGTCAGTCCGAAGCTGTAGCCAGCCTTAGCCGAGCGTCTCTCGCGTCTTTTGCCGTCTGGGGCTCGGTGCTAAAACTCATTCATGAAGGACAACGAAAAATATGTCCTGTACCGCTTCACCGGACACCCGGTCAGCGGCGTCAACTGGAGACCGACGCGGCTGGTCGACGACGTGCCTGAGGTGCGCAAATGCCGCGTTTGTGAACTTATTCCGAAGAAGATAGTGAGGTTGCCATGTAAGCACTTTTTGTGCGAGTACTGCCTCGACTGCGCCTCCCAGTCTGGCAGCGGGCTGTGCCCCGTGGATCGCACGACCTTCAAGGTAGCGAAGTGCGCAGTCATAAGCTTCCCCGCCAAGAAAGCCAACCGCTTGAAAGTGAGTATGAGGCTCTGCATTTGTAAGCTACCTGTTTTATCTTAGCGTCTTTGATGCATACCAGGGGGTATTAGTGGAGTTTCTTCAGGGGAAAGTGCAATAAGACAATGCCCTTTGCATAGTAAGTTTTTAGATTGTTTTGCGATCTTTTGTGGGAAGCATCATTGACAGCTACTACTTGTTTATTCCTTCATTGACTTGCCCTATGAAATATGTCATGTTCATGCACTCATACTCCTTTCATTGCACAATAAAAAAGAGCCCGCGGACTGGCACTCAAAACTAACAGCATATTTAACCCGTCTCTCTTTAGAGCTAAAGTGCACCAGCATAATCTGTGCCCCTCATCAGTCAAGGTGTGTTCAGAGACTGGAAATTCTCGAAAATTGAGAAGCACGGTTTATTTGGGCTTGATGTTGTCATACAGTTTGACTTCCGAAATCATCAGTGTGGCACACTCTTTCGCGTTCTTTGATGGAAGGCCTATGGCAACTTTAACGTTTTTTTTTGTCGCATTATTTCAATTAGGAACAAATATCTTTTACTGTAAGAAATATTTCATGGCATAAGAAGAGTGAACAGTGCGAAGTGATATACATAGTATTTTGCTGAGACCTTATATTCGCATTAGCTCGCGTTTCTCTTGTTGCCAAGACCCATTAAATATGGTAATAATTGCCACTAAGAGAAAGCATCAGTGCAGAATAATTTGAAAACCATCTAAAACGACGCTACAAATTTTTGCGGTTTGGTGGGTGTGTTTGAGCTCGTTCACAGGCATCGGTGTCAGCGTCATTAATTTTGAGCGAAAAATAGTCATCTTGTTCATGACCAAAAAAATCTTGAAAAAGGTCACATAAATAAGTAGTGTCTTTACTGCTATTCAGAATTCAACTCAGGCCATCTTCATATGTTGATCCCGAGAGTAACGCTATTGGTTAGAACTACCTCGAAAACAAAACATTGTATACGATTATCATGTCATGCAGGAAATCTCTCCAAAAATGTAATATTGCGTGGCAGGCGCGTAGGATCACGCAGCGCATCCAAGCATCTGAATAGTGCAACAAAGGCTTGATTGAAATTCCCATCGATTACAAGAAAAAAATTCGGATATATTTATTCAGTATCAGCTACATAAGCATCTGTAAATATTTTTTTTCACTGCGGCACGCTTGAAAGCGATGTGCCTGGGGCCTGATCTCGTAATCACGTTCCGATCTTCAACAATGAGCTCAAATGAACAACAAATTTTCTTTTATTGCTAATGTATTGGCTAAACTTGCATTACTCGGGATTTGAAAGGCCGAGTTTACAAAGGTACCTTGGGGTGGGTAGAGTTGCCTGTGAACTCGCAGTGCGATTTTTTCGCAAGGGAAGTCAATTTTATCAGACGTTTCACGTACCACAGCCGAATGCAAACCACCAAATATTCGTTCTCAACGAATGCATGATTGTGTCCTATATGTAAGTGATTCCAAGACTTTAAAAATATGCAAGGCAAAGAGGTGCAGGTTTTCCAACCGTGAATCTAATTTTGTGATTGAGTGCTGCAAGTTAGCATGCGATATCATAAAAATAACGTCCAATACGAATTTCATGCCGATACTTCTGTGCTTTCATTTTGCGAGAGAAAACATTTTCCCGTCAAATGTGGGAAGCGTGAGCTCGCATCTTTATTCATCTTGATAGCTCTGATATATATATATATATATAAAAGATCTAATATTGACGAGAGCTTTACCCCCTCTCTACATCGGGTATGTCTGGCCGTGACGCAACTGCTTTGCGTGTTTGTTTTTAGGAATATGAGGGCAACTTGAAACAAAGAGAAATGAAAAATTGTATAATATGGATAAAAGATAGGCGTGGATATAGAATACAACACCTTGTTTGCTGTTGACGGAAGAAAGACAGGCCAAGGCGAGCGAGCTAGCCAAATCGGCGATTGGTTCATGACTGGTCTACTGGAGACAATAGCGGGCGCACCTTTGAACAATACTGTATTTCAAAGACACGCCAACAGAATAACCATCATAGTAAATAGGTTTTCCGTGCATTTGCGTGCTTCTCTGGCAAAGGTCGTCGAAAGGCGATAGTCTTCGGTCTGGGTAGTCTGGAGGCGCTGCGTCAGATATGGACACCATTAGGCAGTCATCTCAAGAGCCGAAAGTTGTTGTTGAACGCAGAACCACTGGTAGGTGGCAGCACCGTGTCGTTTTAGCGAATCGTTGAAAACATTTGCGTTTTCGTTCAAAGCGTCTTATAGTCAGCAGAGCGCCATAAGCAATACAGTCTTTAGAATTACTTATGTATGCATGTTCAAGATAAAAACACTACCTAATACTTGTGCATTCATTTTTACCTCAAGTATGCGTAACTTTTGCTTTTTGATAGATAATATTTACAAGTACACTCGCAAGCAGCCACTCAAATTGGCTGGACGTTGGGTAAGCTTTTGTCGGGTGGTGGGATTGGGTGGCAGACAGACAGACAAAATATTTTTGTTGAAGTGTCCCAAGAAACGCTAAGGTCTTAAAAAACCTACATACCAGCAGCAGATGACGGCACAATCTTAGTATCCGTAATCGCATGGCGTTGCATGGTCACTAGAGTAACGAGCATGGACCTAACGTCCCCCCTCCCGTGAAAGAAGGTTGGACGCGGTCGTGCCGTGCATCTCAGTGCACACGGCAACTCAGCGAAGTGTGAAAACGAACGCTTCTAGTCACATTAAGCATGCGGCGGAAGTAAAATCCTCCTAGATCGTGCCAGCCTTGCGCGTTAGCGCGGCGCTTTGACTTCGCATTGTAGAGCGCATCGGGACGTCATGGGTAGCGAACGGGTTCATCACCCACTATGTTAGCTACACGTAGAATTTTCTGGCTTTTGTGTACTTCGAAAGCCGCTACCATTCAAACGATGCGTGACAAACGCAAAAAAAGAAATTGTCCGGTGGATGACACTACAGTGTACTAAGAGGTAGAGGGATAATGAAGAGCACGCGGGTGTGACATCTGACTTAGACGCAGTGAGATGTCGCAGTAAAAAATAAAAACAAGACTAGCTACAAAAAACTATATTGTCACAAAACACCACAGTGTTCTCGAAGTACATGGCTGCAACGAGATAGGAATTAAGAGCCATGGCTGATCTTCGCATGCAATTTTTTGTTACGCCATTCATGTCGCGATTTGTTGAGTCCTTTTGCATAAAAATGCCAACATGGTCAGCCCATAGAACTTGGTTAACTCTGTCGTGAGCGCATCTGGATGCTAGCTGCAACCTAGGGCATTACAAAAGTTCTCATTCATCAGGAACACCACATCGTTGTGCTGTCCCTGCAGAGTTTCTCTCGGCTGAAAAATCACCGTGAAGAAGTCTTAGTTGCCCTAAAAAGCTCCTGTGAGGGATTCAACAAGCCTCCCTTGTCACGTATCACAGTGAACTCGGTGTTTCTGTTTTCCGTATGAGGTGCTTCCAAAAGAAGGGTCTTGCAAGGCATGCAGTCATAACGCTTCGAAAACTTAATTTTAAGCAATATAACCTGCCATATAATGTATTGAACGGTCATCGCTCTTCTGCTCTACCAACTCTCTACGCTCTGCAGGAATACTCCGAAACATACATTCAGCTGATACTAGGGTTCCTTTTTCAATCACATGGTCCTCTGCAGGAACCCTGGCTTCCTAAGCAGGACGATCTTGAGCACTCAGGAGAGAGCTATTGTTGCACTAGCTCCGTTAAGGTCAACTTTCCCCGAGCGTATGCTTTTAGCAAGGTTATAAAATTACAGGCAACTAATGACAAATAGGAATTGCGTGGGTCTAGGTTGATTGCTCGGTGTGTTCATCCGTCCGTGCATGCGGCCGTGACAACAATCGCGCGAATCACCACCGGCAGCCATGCCAGCCAGCCCACGTGACTACAGCGCCGCTACCAGCATCTGGGTCACGTCCGCACTCGCCGCCTCACTTCAATGCGTAGGGCGCTCTGGCGGCTGATTCCACTACCCCCTTCTAGAACACTGTAATGACACTTAGGCCGCGTTCACACTGAGCATTCCGGCCGCCGAAAGTGCTCCGAATCCGGTTCGGCGGCGGCTAGATTCGCCGAAAAAGCCCTCTCCGCACCGATCGCTCTCGGACCGATTTTTGCGGAATCTGCCGCCGAATCGCTCCCCACGGACCAATAGGAGGGCTAGTCAAGAAATTTTGCAAAATGGTGGCCAAGCCCTACTCACTTGTTATGCCGCAGTGCACGTAACTGAATGTTGACACCAACGGGAGTTTAACCAACTCTGTGCCTACTTCGCGTCCGTATTTCGTTGAAGAGGTGACCGAGCTTGCTGTTGGCGTGACCGAGCTTGTTGCGGTCTTGTAGAGCAAAACGAACCCACCAACGCCGCTGGCGTCGGTGGTTTTTCTGCTCTTCGTGCATTACAAAACAGCCACTTGCCAGCAAAGTAAGCAGTACTGTCTTTTCTTGCTTCCTGCGTACGAGAATCATCGAAGACTAGACCACCGGATAGCCTAGCAGCATTTGCAAACCATGACAACAACCGAGTTACAGCGCATCCATGCCGCGTTCGCCCCGAGGTAGAAGGCATATTCGGCGGCGCGGTGCGCGTTCAGTGCGAACGACGCTGCGTTTCGGCGGCAGGAGAATTTCGGTCGCTGTAGAAAGCGGATGTTTCAGTGTGAACTAGGCGTAACTATGGCTGATGCACAGCGCCGCTGATTTTCAACGAATAAATAAAAACTATAAAAGCAATAAAGTGCGTGGGGGACAATGCTAGGAGATTCAGCATTTAGAAGCAAAACTAGAAAGTCCAAGTAAAAGTTGTAAGGAACTGATGATCAGCGTTGTAGTTCTGTGTGCCTCACGTACCCGATTTTCACCTGTGTTCCAAGCAGCAGCCCACAAGATGGACTGCGAACTGCTACCGACTCACCAAGTACATTGGAAAGACGTAGGAGCTAGATATCGCACATGGCCATTTTCCTGCTATTGCACTGCAATGGGTGACCAGTAAAAGAGCGAGGGATTGTGGGATGCACCGTCTGCTACCGGCTTCCGGTTCGAGAAGAGTAGACGACGGCGAACCACTTCGCCGCGAGCCTCTGATTATTAGGAATTCGCGCGCGGCCACCCGTTTATCTTCGTACTGATAAGCAATGGTCGGTTGTTCAGTCGTTGGCTGCTCTTATTCGAGCGTGAAAGGCAAACGCAGGTAGATTTCCCATAGAACGAAGGAAAAAAAACAGGTGGGCCGCGGCTGTGAAGCGATAGGTTGCCTTTGAGTACGGAACCTAGAAGCCAGAGTGTGCGAAAACCATATATCACAGTTACGTGTATATTCCACGCTAAAAAAAAAGCTTACGCATGAATTTGCTGCGAATATATTATTGAGAAATAAAATGCCGGATGCGGCGGCTGCATTTCCAATGAAGGCGGAAATTTTGTAGGCCCGTGTGCTCAGATTCGGGTGCACGTTAAATAACCCCAGGTGGTCGAAACCTCCGGAGCCCTCCAGTGCGGCGTCTCATAATTATATGGTGGTTTTGGGACGGTAAGACCACATATCAATCAATCAAATCAGAGCTTCGTGACCTCAGCGTGTTCTTATCACAAGAGAGATAGCGCGAAGAGCGCGTTATTTGAGCTCTAAGGGTCATCGCCCCACTCATTCCGATGCCCACGCGCCTCAACATGGCAAGATAAATCGTCCGCGCATTTACTTATCTCGGGATGTGGATGGTTTGCTCTGCATCTGCTTTCAGCACGAATTTGCGTCGAATATAGAGAAAGCGCAAAGGTCATTTCATTTGTTCCAGCAGACGCGTTTTCGAAAATAGCCAGCCGCTCGCCCACGAAGAAGCAACAAGAGCGAGAGTTCTTGGTCAGTGCTCATGCATACTTGTGTGATAGTTGGCTGCGTATTTCTTTGTAATTGAGAAAAGTTAATTGTCGAGCTGTGACGTCCGTTGGTTTACGCTTATCCTGTCGGTTCTTTTCGTGCCTAGTTTTCGCTTGTGGATTGCACTGCAAGATCACAGCAGCGTCCCTTTCTTCACGTTCTTCATGTGTCATTGCAATTGATCTCTATAACAGTATTTCATCTGTGTTGTGAAACAAAACACAATCAATGCTCCACTACGTCATTGAAAACACGTTTTCAATTCGGATTTTTACAGAGTTTTATAACAGGCATAAGCCAAGTATTTCTTATTCAAGCAATGATTGTGTAAAAATGGGCTGGTCGTTACGATAGCTCTCCGGATATATTTACTAGCCTTCTTGCCAATATTTCTATTTTTGTAGGTCTGCAAGACCACACCGACCGGGTGATAGGTTCTGCATGTATAGGACTGGGCTTTGATAATGCAAGTTGTAGCTGTTATTTCTTGCCATGCAGTTTAAAAAACCTTATGCCGAAAATAGTCTGCTAAACTGCGACAAATTCAAGCTTTTCTTGCGAACATTTACATTGCTTATCTAGCATTCACTATTGACTCAGATGGACAATCACCTGTGGAAAAAAAAGAACCCTTTTCTTTCAATATTTAAAATGTTGTGGCCAGTCATGTTGTCTTAAAAACCACCAAGTTGATGTGATAACCAACGCTGTGTGTTTTTTATTTGTTTGAAGGTTTACTGTTGGAATCACAGATCGGGCTGCGAGTTCAAGGGCCCCATTGAGGATCTTCTGCAGCACTACGAGAACGATTGCGTCTTCCACTTGCTGCGTTGCGAAACAGGAAGGCACTGCCTGCCACGCGAACTCGCTGTAGAGCACTTCATTAATATGTGTGACAAGAGACTTCCATGTTCCGAGTTGTATCACTCGGCCTTGCAAACTACACCAGCTGCTTCTGCAGATACCAGCGTCTATGAGGACCGTTCGCAAACTACAGCTCCTGCTTCTGCAGATACCAGCGTTTATGAAGACCGCTCGGAAACTACAGCACCTGCTTCTGCAGATACCAGCGTCCATGAGGACCACTCGACAACTACAGCTGCTGCTTCTGCAGAAACAAGCGTCAACGATAACCGCTCGCATACCACAGCTACTGCTTCTACAGATGCCAGCGTCAACGAGAACCGCTCGCCTACTACAGCGGCTGCTTCTGTAGATACCAGCGTCAATGTGGAACACGATAAGGCGCAATTAAGAGACGTTCTCAAAGAAATCCAGCTGTCTGCACTTCAGGACCAGATGGCTGTGCTCATAAAACGTGTCGCTTATCAGCATGCCGTACTAAAGGAAGTCATTGACGGGCAAAAACTAGTAGCGCTTACTCTGAGGGATACCCTGACCGAGGTCGTAACAAGAGCAATTTCCGAAAGTTTTCCGCGACAGCCGAAGTCAAAAAGTTTCACGGATGACGACGCCACATCGTCGGCCCTGTCACTGTCCTCGGAGAAGGTAGTCATACTTAGAAAGCTTGAACATTACGCCAACGTAACGCTCGGCACTCTCGAAGAGTTACGTCAGAACATGCGTCAATTTGATCATCCTGCTGTAATTGCTCGTTGTGAGCCCTCTAGTCGCGATAGGCTTCGTCTTTTGACTCAAGTACAACCAACCAACTCTCAAGTTGGAGCAGAAATACCAAGCGTCACCTATAATCTGACCCTTAAAAATGCCGACGAAATCTTTTCGAGTGAGATGGAGGACCGTACGTTTGCTGATGTGACCACGTGGCACATGAGAGACACGTACTTTGTGGTCACTGTCGGAAAGCATGTTGCTCACGGCGCTACGCTTTTCGCGATAGAGATTGAGTTTAATGATTTGCGTGAAGGTGCTCAGTGGTTGCCTTCCTCTCGGTCGGTTACCGTGATACATTCGAACGGAAGGAGATGGGATCTACTCGAAGTCGCTGACCTGCCTTGTAGCTGTAAGCGCAGTCTTGATAAGCTACATCATGCTCACGTGTCATTCTTGGCAGACATCAATATCTTCAATCAGGGCTTTTGCCAAGACAAAAAGATGCTGATCGAGATAAAGCTAACGACATAACCGAGGGGGCTTACCGAAAAATTTCATTTCACCACACTGTCATACTGTCATAATTAATCGTCTCGTGCTTCAACGCATACTCATATTGCACGCTCTGTTTGCGATATCAACTAAGGGTGATTTTATTGGACATGCTTTTATTCTTTTCCTGCCTATCAATTACTTCTCATATCAGGCAGCATCTTTTAAAAGCACAGGCTTACGAGTCAGCTAGGAGGATACAAGAAATAAACTAAACGAAAGAACTGTAGTCATACTGTTTCTGTGCGAAAGAACTTTTTATCTATGCTGTGTGTTTCAGCCATAAAATGAGCAGTATTATTTCAGAAATGTGCCCTCGATGATTTTTTACCACCTTACAATGTCACTGTTGTGCGCAAGAAGCTTTTCCAGATACTCTGATTGACGAGCTTTACGTATATGTACGAATAGAGCTATGCTCGAGAATCAAAACTGAGATTGCAATTTATTGATATGTGCAGTTCAACGTCTCAAAATGAGCATATGAATATGAAAAACACCATGATGGAGTGCTCCGGAAATTTCCACCACCTGGGCTTCAATAACGCACACCCAAATCTGAGCAAATGGGCCTACATTTCCACCTCCACAGGAAATGCAGCCGCCGCAGCCAGAATTTGATCCCGCGACTGGCGGGTCAGCAGTTGAGTACCTTAGCCACTAGACTATTGCGGTAGGGTAATCATAAGAATGAGATGCCTCGTGGCTTCTCAAAAAATGTGTATATACTGTGTTGTTTCTGGGTCATCATAGCAAACATGCCTACTTTTACTGCTGTAGCGTTACAGCTCGTTTCACGGAAATATTGGCATTGCGTCAGTGCTGGTGTCGTTAGTCGTTGTTGAAAAAGAATCAGCATCATGTAAGGGACCGCAAAAATTGGTTCCGTACATATATAATATATATATATATATTATATATATATATATATATATATATTAGTCCAGTAGGTCCTCCGTGAGCGGTCATAACGTGGTTTATTTCGACGTTTCGGCCTAGAGTCTGGCCTTCATGGCCAGATTCTAGGCCAAAACGTCGAAATGAACCACGTTGTGACCGCTCACGGAGGATCTACTGGACTATATGCAACGCTACGGCCACTCAACCACCATACCTGCTGCCCATATATATATATATATATATATATATATATATATGAGAGAGAGAGAGAGACCCATACCTGCCTACTCTATACCATACTTGAGTGTGTGTATATATATATATATATATATATATATATATATATATATAATATATATATATATATATATAATAAAATTCAGTATACGCCTCTAAAAAACTGTTTATTGGTGACATTTTGATCGGAGACCGATCTTCATCGGACAGAAGATGGTCTGATGAAGATCGGTCTCCGATGAAAACGTCACCAATAAATAGTTTTTTAGAGGCGTATACTAATTTTTCCTTAATTCTACGGCAACCAAAGCCACACTCTTTATATTCTACGTATATATATATATATATATATATATGAAACCAATAATAATATTTCAGTCTGACTGAGAATATACATCTTCAATATAAAGCGCAAGCTTGCTTCAATGTTTTACCTGGACGAGCGCAAGCACGTGCTGGTACATGTATTCTCGAGCTTTTAATGCACCAGAAAAAATATTTTACTGTTTCCTCAAAGCTTTCGCACTACGTTTTGCGCTTCTGCCGAAGAAAATAGCACTATATAGGCACTTGTACAGGCCCATGTGCTAAAGCCGATGGTACTTGCCAAGTGTTTTAATACGCTGGATGTGAGTGTTCATCTCGGAAGTGGCTCTAAATTTCCGGAGCCCTCCACTACGGCGTCTCTCATAATCATATAGTGGTTTTGGGACGTTAAACCCCACATACCAATACCAAATCGGAAGTGGCTCGATTGTGTGATAGGAAGCGTCCCTCAATGTTGGATACCTTTTATCGGCATTGCATAAACATGTCTAAATGTACAAGACTCGAGCAAATAAAATTCGCTTGTAGTTGTTCGGCCTACCTGCTTTTTTCAATGGCTAGAATGTCGCAGTGAACCTCTGCCCTCTACAATTCGATAAAGTGACCTGCGGTACAAGATAACTTATGTAAGTAGTATAAAAACGGTTTACCACTTAGTTGAACTTGGGTACAAGATAAGTGGTACAAAATTACAAAATAAACGGACCTGTTAATTTGCATTTGGCGACTCAATATTTGAGTAATCGAACAATATGTATTGGGAAGCAACTGATGTAGCTAACATGGCGAGGGCACGTTGACAGGATAACCACTGGTCATTTAGGGTAACTGACTGGAATCCCAGGGAATTCAAACGCAGAAAGGGGAGACAAAGTTATGCGGGCCGATGAGATAAAGTTTGCACATATAACGTGGCTGCAGAAAAGACAAGACATGCTTGATTGGCGAATCATGGGAGAGGCCTTTGCCCTGCAATGGGCGTAGTTTGGCTGATGCTGCTGATCATTATTTATTTGGCACGTTTAGAGTAGTTCGAAATTCTCCACCTATCACGCGTTGGGTACATCACAGCGTCTCTGATTGTGTGAGCAGCTGATTCGGCTAAAGATATCTTGCCGTGCAGAAAATGAAGTATTTGGTAGGTCGATGGTAGGACTGCGCAAAATCGAAGATACATGTGACGTTTTGTTGCCTAGAGCGTAATTCAAACTTTGGCACAAGAGTGAAAGTGTCACGCTAAATATTTATATGCTATTACTGATTTGAGATATTGCTCCGAAACAAAGTTTTGCTTAACCTCAATGTGTTACTATTGCACTACTATGATAGTTTAATGAATTTCGTTTGACTTTCCTTTTTTTTTGCCTTCGTGAAAAGTTGCATAATGCTGCATGTTTAGCAATTTTCATAACAACCAGAAATTGTTTTGCCAGTAGTATATTTACTATTCTGTTTTATGTGTTTCCTTATTAAATGATTAAAATATTGCAGGAGTGAATCCAGCAAAACCTTTGCGAAAATATTGTGACAAAGTTGCGGAAAGTTGGGACTTTACTCATATTGTGGCTCATTTTTCGCAGTGTACGAATAAAATTGAAATTTTGGATTATTTATTGTTGTATAGTCTGATTTATAATAAAATATTGAGAAAGTTTTAAAATGGTGGTTGTTGTTTTGTAGGAGTATGGAGTTTTCTGTCTGAACTACCACGATGTAGTAGAAAGCTTGCCTTTGCCTCACCTTCACTCTATAGCATGCCAGCACTAGGTCTCAGTGCATGTTTTTGGTATCAAACATTGCGTGCGAGTTCTTTTGTTAATATTTCATTACTACAGCTGTACAAACGTGAAAAGGGGGCAATACGGTGTATCTCCCCTTTGAACAATCCAAGGTAAGCTTATATTTGACCGCTTCGTAGTCCCAAGGGGCCGGATTATAATGCAGTAGGTGACCTGTAACATAGTATTATGATGTTGTGTTTGGTTTTTGATAATGATACACGTATTCCTAATTTTATTTATTGTTATATTTTAAGTGTAGTTTACTTAAGGCATATTTACTAAGGCATATTTACTTAAGGCATATTAAGGCATATTACTTAAGGCATACTAGGGGTACACATTCAAGATGATTCGATATCCGGCCACAAACTACACTTAAGTCACCATTTCCGGTGGGCGGTGATGATGATGATGAATCCCCAGCGATGGCTCTTACCCACTCAGGGGATTTGGCCAAGAATCGATTAATTAGTTCAGAGAGACTTCTTTCATATTCAATATTTATACCTCTACTCCCCCTCCCCCACAAAAGGACACCGGTGGGATACCAACAACTTGATCCTTCTCTTCCTTAATGGCCTGAAGGTGTTGAAGATGTTTCAATTAAAAGCGTTCGCCATAATTTTGATGCGCTTTTAACAATTTCAACACCATAAGACAATTAAGAAAAAGATCAAGCAAAGTTTAAGTTAGATCGGGCAATGTGAAATATGTGTCATTTTTGGGCATGATATCGAATGATCTCCAACAAGTGTGCCTAGCATACATCATTTCATCATGCACAGCAATAGTAAGCGATCACGCGTCAGCCTATCCTTGAATCAACAGAAAAAAGATTCGGTAAACTATAGTTTAACTATATCAGTAATATATATATAAGGAATGTGCGTATTTATTATTAGAAGCGACACACAAGACACATTATGTGTTGCAGACCCTCGACAACATAACTCTGCTCAAGAGGACTAAGAAGCGCTTGAATATAACCTGGCCTTTATTGGTACAAGGCTGAAGATATATTTTCTATTTTAGGGGCGAAGCTCCTTAGGGCGTGGGCTGTGCGTCCCCTGTAGCCTGTATGTAGCCACCTCTAGTTTAGTTCTTGCAGTGTTCACTAGATGGCGGTACCGTCCCCCTGTATGTAGCCACCTCTAGTTAGTTCTTGCAATGTTCACTAGATGGCGGGTACCGTCTCCTGTATGTAGCCACCTCTCGTTTAGTTCTTGTAGTGTTTACTAGATGGTGG